CCAGCCAGCTGGCTGGGGAATTCTGGGAATTGAAGTCCGCCAGGCTTAAAGTTGCCAAGGTTGGAGACCCCTGCCGTAGACCAATCACATGTTGTCAGTCCATTCTACCTCAAAGGATTGGTGTTGTGGGAGAAAGATTAGGGAGAACCTCATATAATCTACTTTTAGCTATTAATAGGAAAGGCAGAATATAAATGCAAATAAGTGGGGGTGGAATATAAAACAACAGCCGTGAATAACTTACTTGTTCCAGTTGGAATATATGCATCTAATTTTGTATTAGACTGTGCTAGATAGTCTTTTAAAGAGTCATTGATGTTATTGAAAAATAATCTCATTTGATTTTCTGTTGCTTTGATACAAACTTGTCAAAGCTATAGATTCAACCATTAAGATTTATTTACCTTAGATGACAGCATAAACTGCTGACTTCAGATCCAAAAATAGTTTTTACCAAGCTGTTCTGATCTGGAAAAAAAATCATCTAATGAATGTATTTAGAAAAAGAACAAATAAATTCTATTTTACCCTGCGTAGCTATAGGACCTAGAAATTGATCTTAATGCTGAGAAAATGCCAAAGTAAATTAGAATGATTTTTCTGCATCTAAAATTGGAATGGGGATAGAATATGCCGGTAGAGTCTTTTGATTTTTTGTGTGGAAGGTCAATTACAGCAATTAGAATATCTCATCAGTAATCATGTACCCAGTCTTGGTTATAGAGATGCCTTTCATTTATTCTTCCATCATATAGAAAGAAAAGGTATTGTCTTGAGCTAAAAGCTTCCTAACAATGTAAGAAAATTTTATATCCATTTAAGTCAGAGGTCTTCAAACGTGGCCACTTTAAGACTTGTGGACTGCAACTCCCAAGAATTCTCCAGCCAGCTTCTGGGAGTTGAAGTCCACAAGTCTTAAAGTGGCCACGTTTGGGGATCCCTGATTTAAGTTGCTTTTATATGGAAGATGGATACTTGGATGAGTGTTGTTTTCTTTTTCTGTTAATTTATGTGTTTAGTAGCTAGCTAGACCTAAAAATTAATTAAACACAATTGGACACATATTATTTCACCCATTCAATATTGAATTAACATCAAACTGAAGCCTACACAAATTTTATCTGCTGTGGTAAAATATCACATTAGTTTTTATGGGAATTTTGGATGTTAAAGCAACAGAATATAAGGCTTATGGGACAAATGCAGCCTAAAGATATCTCTGTCACAGGAAACCAAATTATGGATTTCTTTTATACAAAAGTAATACCTTGTTTCCCTGAAAATAAGACCTCCCTGNTAATCAAATAACATTTTGCATTTGTGTCTATTGTATGCAAAGTCAGTGCATCAAAGTCAAGAAAACTGAATTTTTCCTGTATAAGAGTATTATTTATAATTCTATAACTAATAATCTATTAATATTTTAACTGTCAGGTTTCCTAAGCAATATATATATGGTATTATCTAAATGTAACTTACATTATAAAATCTTAAGCTTCCCTTTCAATCAAGATATAAAGCTTCAAATGGTGGCCAATCCCTCAATATCTACACTTATATTTAAATCATTAGAAAGCAATGATCAATGAAGTTTTAATATAATTCAGCATGAAGTCTCAGTCACCAAATGATTGGGGCCTCAACATTGGCTTGCGTCAAAAGAATTTTTTTTTAAAAAAGTGTGCAAACTAATATTTGTGCTCATTATAAGTGGTGTAATGTCTGAATTGCTAAACAACCATTATGACCATTGTTTTACTTCTGAAGGTTTCAACAAGAAAGCAATTCTGAGTTGTAGAAATTAGAGAGGGTGTTGTATAAACCATGACTTATCCAAGAATTTGAAACCCCAAGCTATTATTTGTGCTGTGAATACATGGTTAATTTTATATGTTCTCAACTTAGTAGATATGGAATTTCTCATTTAAAAAAACCCAAAGTAAGACATATGCAGAAATTAAGACATCTACACACTGCAGATTGTGGAGTAAAATTTCTAGAAATTGTATCTATTGTTGGCCTGATTTTATTCCATCAGGTTTGGATGTGTGGAGGAGAAATTGAGATTATCCCGTGTTCCCGAGTAGGTCATATTTTTAGGAATGATAACCCCTACTCCTTCCCTAAAGATCGCCTCACTACAGTAGAGCGGAATTTGGCCCGGGTGGCAGAAGTTTGGCTGGATGAATACACTGATCTTTTCTATGGACATGGTTATCACCTCATTCAAAAAAACTTGGACATTGGAGATTTGACTCAACAGAAGAAACTGAGGGAGCAGCTTCAGTGCAAGAACTTCAAGTGGTATTTGGAAAACGTATATCCTGATTTGGAGGCCCCTCTCGTAAAAGCTAATGGGCTGGTATGTTCATTTTACCAACTTGGGTTTGTGCTATTGCCTATGTTAATGGTGGTTTTAGCTTAATTTCTTTTCTTCTTATGCACTATAAAAATCTCGTGTTAGCAGCAGCAAAATGTATTGTTACATTAGTTGAATTTTCCATCAAGTTCTAAGGAGATGGGTGGGTGAATTGATTGGCTTATGTCACCTTGTTCCATAATGCAGTTTTGTTCTAATAATTCATGGTAATTTAAAAACTTTATTATGGAGTTCTATATACTGAATCACTATCCTGAGGGCAATATCCACAATATTAAAAAATCAAAGGACATTGCTACTGGGTTTTTCTTACTGTCAAATCCGTGAAAGTACCATAGCTTGAGATTCTAATGTCAGTATGCTTTATTTAAAGTAAAGCAGAAAAACATGGAGTTCATCATTAGCCTACGAGGGTGCAGCTCTACTTTGTCATATGCTGACATCACATAGTTGCTAGCATACATACAGAGCACAGCTAGTCTGCGATAGTCTTTTCCACTGTTATAGCCAGTGGTGGGTTCCTAACCGGTTTACTACTGGTTTGCTGAGAGGGCATTTTGCTATAGTGGTCTACATCTACAGTTCTATAGAAAAGTGAAGGAATAATAACAAAAAGATAAAATGTATGTTGGAAGATAAGGTATGTGTATGAAAGTAGGAATTCATAATTGGCAATAATTAGAATACACTTTCGTAAATGTAGAATTGATTGATTGCTAATAAGGCAAGATGGCATACAGAAGTAAAATAAATGGAATGATTAGGAAATGGTTCAGGACTAAGCAAGTGTGATATTTTCTGAGTTGTTTAATATATTTATGGATAAATGCTTATTAGATATTTTTGGATGAGGATTTAAATATGTGTGTATTCGTTTCCTTGTGATAACGGTTGAGTATCTGAATGATATTGAGTGAATGTATAATAATTGTAGGATGTAGAAAGGATATGACGTATGAATAAAAGTAATGTATCAAAAGATCAAGCAAATATATTTCACTATGAAATATGAATGAATAGTTGTAAGTTATACATGAATGATTAAGAGGTGCAACATGTAGATGAATTTTTCTATCTTTGTAGAATATTTGCTAAAAATAGAAACAAAGGTGACAAGATTTCAAGACCTACAAAGGCTAGTAAAAGGGTAGAAGGTGGTATGTTGTATGTTATAACGGTCAAAAGAAGCAAAAATGGCTGTCTACAAGGTGTTTCTGTTCTCTTTGACATAATAATGGGGAATGTTGAATGAATGAAAAAGTAAAATGCAGTGGGAATAAGTTAAGAAATCTGTGGTAAGATGAAGTGCTAGGGTCAAGAATGAATACAGGTGGATTGAACATGGAAATATGTGACCAGTTCAAAAAAGTATACTGCAATAGTTTGGTCATACAGTACAAAGAAAGTGAATGAGGATTGGATTTCTAAGTAAATCTCTATATTTAAAAAACCATATATTTATAGGAAAATACCAGAAATTATATTTGAATAACTTTATGAGATCTTAGAAAGAAGTAGCTGAGAAAAACAAACCTAATAAATGTATAAATCAATATGTGGATTTGGTAGAAACAAGGACAGTTTGCAAGTATATAAAAGACTTCTGATAGTTTGCAAAGTATGGAGAGAAATAGTGAATTGTGTTCATATAAACTAGATAAATTAGATAACAAGGACATGGTGGCTCAGTGGCTAAGACGCTGAGCTTGTTCATCAGAAAGGTCGGCAGTTTGGTGGTTCGAATCCCTAGTGCCGTGTAACGGAGTGAACTCCCGTTACTTGTCCCAGTCCTGCCAACCTAGCAGTTCGAAAGCACGTAAAAATGCAAGTAGAAAAATAGGGACCACCTTTGGTGGGAAGGTAATAGCATTCCATGTGCCTTTGGCATTTAGTCATGCCGCTACATGACCACAGAGATGTCTTCGGACAGTGCTGGCTCTTCAGCTTTGAAACGGAGATGAGCATCGCCCCCTAGAGTCGGGAATTAGCACATATGTGCCTTAAACTAGCTATAACTGTTTTTTTAAATCTTATTTCACATGTATCCATTAGTAATGTCTGTTGTTTATTTGGTTAATGTTTCTTGCTTCTTTGCTGCATGTAGCATATTATGTTCATTGAAAAGAAATAATGTGATGGGTATATTCAATAAGACACTATTACATGTGTTTATACAACACACAACACTACAGTGAAAGTAAACTCTTTTATGGTTTAGATTAATGAGTGAACCTAACCTGTACATATGTATTTGTGTCACACAATAGACAGGCACTTACCACTTTTGTTTTTTGGAAGAACAGCCTACTGTTGATGGGCTCCCTATGCAAACTTAGCTGAAGTCTTGGAAGTAGATGCTGCAAAATTCATGCATTTTTCTCTAAATCTACATTTTTCTTAAGCATTGCTTTTTCTTTTATCAATATTTTCTATTACTACTCCTGGATATTTATGTTATTACAGTGCAACATCTCTGATTTGAAATCCGTTAACTATAATCAAAGGATAGTAGTTTTGTCAGTGAAAAGTTATGCATTATGAGCAGTACATTGGGATCTAGAAAAGAAAAAAACTATGTTTTATAATTTCTTTCCCAAGAATCATCTGACAGAAGTTTATATAGGAAACTGGTATAGATCTCAGAACAATATTTATACATTACAAAATAGGGAAATATTTAAAATTTGTAAGCCTTAAACACTGACCCTCCCTCAGTAAACATAAAGCTTTGCTATTCTTACCTTCCACAATCTATATAGGTTGTTACCATTTATTTATTTAACTATTACCTAAATGAGATGAGTTGATATCAAGCAGATGCTTCAGGCATTCAGGCATAATTGTAGAACTGTTCACTTCAAAGCCTTCAGGATTTCATATTTTCAATTTGCAACCACTAGAGTGCACTAGAAATCCATTTTGTTCCTTTCTGGAATAAAATAGGAATTATTTCTGTAGGGTCCCAAAGCCAAGACTTTCTATAAAACTGTATTATGGTGCATCTTAAGGAGCTTTTAATACCCCCTTCTCCAGTTCCAAAGATAATTTAGCAGTTGTAAATAATAGCATCGTAACACAAAGTGTATCATGAGTTCCTCTGGAATAGCATTCTCAGCAACTACAAAGTGGAGCCATAAAGTTTTTTATGAGCTATGGGAGATGAGAGGAAGTTGTTTGGCTTCCTTTTTTTACGATTGCTTCTTCTGATAACTTTAACATAAAATAAAACAATTCCGTGTGAGTGTGTGTGTGTGTTTCATTTATATAAACACTGCATATCAAATGCAGTTTTCCTGTTGCAGCTGCCTTTTTACCTGGCATCCCTAAAGGCAGTTTGAGAAGCCTGTTCAAGGCATGTAGGAATCTTTTGGGTCTTCATTTTGCTGTTTCAATATCTTGAATCCATGGAGCAATAGGGCAACATACTGTTCTTGTAAGACATAAGGCATAATTAAACATTTCATTCCGCGATATCAGCATCCTGTATAGCAACAATCACATAGAACTGTAATTCTTATGGTTACAGTTTTCTGTACATCTTGAAGGTACATTTCTCATGGCTCTTTTTTGTATTTCGTACTAAGAGCCGTGGTGGCGCAGTGGTTAGAATGCAGTATTGCAGGCAAACTCTGCCACTGCAAGGAGTTCAATCCTGACCTGCTCAAGGTTGACTCAGCCTTCCATTCCTTCCGAGGTGGGTAANCCTACAAATAGTAAGAAATGAGTGAAATGCTAATGATCTTTGTTTTTATTGCCAGTGCTGTACCTTGAATGCTGAAAATCCCTTCATTATGATGATCGGTATTTACTTGCATTGTGAATCTCTAGATTTTGAATATTTGTGGCAATGCAGTTTTTTTCATTTCCTTATCTTTTTCAGCTTTTAAATATCTATTTCTATCAAAGATTCTTCAAACTCATTTCTTAAATAAGCTGTTTGAGAATAGTTACGTTACTTATTAGGAAACCTACCTAGAGTTAGTTGCACCTGCGTATATGATTCTTACTCATTCAAAACTTTTCAAGAATTTATAATTTGATTTGGACAATTAACCAATTATCCAACCCTCTTTTTGTTGTGATATGTCCCCTATTTCATCAGCTGAGTAATATTGCAATCTGAAGGGCAGAATCACCTGCCATTAAATTACCCATTATTGCAAAGGCATGGTATAACTTCCTTTGCATAACAATTACTATTTAGATGGGAGGAATTGTCTTTGAACTTTCATAGAATTAGCAAGCTGTTCCACATCGAGACTCTAGTCTAGTCCAGTCCAAGAACAGATAGACCTGTTGTTCTTGTCCAAAAGACATGTGGTATATTTCCTGTTCTGCTTCTAAATGAAGTATGCTGGGAAACATAGCAAGAGTTACTTTGCCAAGATTTTTTCTAGTACAAAAGCATTGGCTTACTTTTCAGCTTTGTGCCTATAACCATTGTCACCATCTTTTCTCTTCTCTGTAGATGGATCACATTGTTTTAGAACACCTTTCAAGGGCCACGTGTTTGGAAATAGACCAGTCACAGAAAATCCTGAGGGCTAATATTTGTTTTTCAAGCAATAATCATCAGAAGTGGCAATTTGGAAATTATTATGCCGAGTGAAACAGAAGCCAAGCAAGCTACATGTAGGAGCTGCTTAGTATGCTGATAGTTCAAGAATGACAGCTCTAGAAATGGGAAGTAAAAAATCAGCACGGTTTCTCAAAACCACAATTTAAAAGCAGTGTATGAGGAAATCAACAGATGGAGAAAGAGCACAGCTGGTTTAACTGGTGTCATTCCAACCAGGCCTGTTACCTCAAAGAAGGCTGGGCAGAAATCTGGCCGGGTGGAAAAAAAAAGTTCAACAAAAAGGAAATATTTTGAGTATCTTTTTCCATGACAAAAAGTAAACAACACAATTTTATGCTATGTTATAATGGGACCCGTTATGAATATTTCATTTCATTAGTGTTCTCTCCTCCCCTCCTCTCTCAATCAGAAAACTCTTTGGCAAATCTTATAGTCTTAAATATCTAAAACCTTCATTTCAAAAGCATGTACAAAAGGTGGAAAATATCTTCCAATTCTAGCAGAAAAAGTCTTCTTTCTGACATCTCCAAGAAAATGTGGTAGAATCTCAGGCTGAAATCACTTGGCTGTAGAGATCAGAAGTAACTTTTTTGATGACTCTTTCTCTTAGAATTACAGCCACTTCAACACCTGTCAGATCATCCAAGATGGGAAGGAAAAAGAAGAGACTCTCTAATAGATATATTGAAAACAGGGTCGCAAGCCTTAAAAATTTTGATTTTGCTTTGAAGTTTCTTTTTGGATAACTTACAACTTTGGCTGGATATTCTGTGTCTGTTCCCCTCTTTTGACAAGAATTCACATTTCTTGTTTTAGAAACTCGACATAAAGATGTGATCCCTTCAGAAGGATGACAAACATGTATTCGGCAGGAGGAGAGGGCAAATGATAGAACTGATGAAGTAGAACTTATATAGTATTCATTGAAACAGCATTTCTTCAGAATGTAAAGCAGCAGCAGCATCATATATGTCATTGATGTGATTCATCATCTCACTAGGCAAGAGAAATAAAAGAACCATGTAAACTCACATTGGGTAGTTCATCCAGCAGTTCATACTGCTATCATAAGGCACTCCAGGATAGAGGCATTTACCTCTTGCTTGCCAATTTGGAACTTACATGTAACAATTCTGACAGCATGAAGAGCCCAGTGTGTGTAGTCTCCAAACACAGATTTCAAGCATTGCCACATGCATGCAACTTTTTGGGTCACAGTTTCAGAAGATTGGTTTGTACTTTGGAAGTGGACACCTCATCAGTTAATATTCTATTAGATTTTAGTGTATTTTTACAATCTACAAGAACATAGGGGTGGGATGTTCCTGATGTAACATTCAGAATGAGCATCTCTAAAAAAATAAGATACTACTTAAGAATGGACCTCACCATTTTCAGCTCAGTTTCCCCTAAAACAGATTAGCACTTAAGAAAAAAATAATCTTGAATGTTTCCAAAAGCAAAGTCAAATTTCCCACATACCCCCACTATCTTGAAATAGTTTGTCATCTTCTAAAATAACAAATACTTGTGTTTTTCATACTTTGCTAATATGTGAACTTATATTTTTTTGATGTTGGGAGAAACACTATTGAGTTATCCACCCATTAAATGAAGTCACATTGCCCAGCAGTATAATGAAATTATTTGTACACTATGCAATTGTACACTATAAACATATATTTCCAGGTATTTAGCACACCTATGCATAGCACAAGGGGACTTTGCCATGACTTGCAACCACCCTATCTCTAGATAGTTGTATGTGAAAAGAAACTCCTAATGAAGGACCTAGAGCTAGTTTGGTTTAGAGGTTAAGGTACAAAGTTAGAAAGCAGGAGAACGTGAGTTCAAGTCCCACCTTAGCTATGAAAGCCAGCTGGGCAATTTGGGCCAGTCACTCACTCTCAGCCCAACTCACCTCACAATGTTATTGTAGGGGAAATAGGAAGAAGATGATGTATTGGATGTGCTCACCACCTTAAGTTGTTTGTAAAAATAATAAAAGGTGGGATACAAATAAATAAAATTTGGGCTTTCCCAAGAGATGGATGCCTGACTTTACAGCACATTATTATCGAGAATGTGTTTCTCAGGGATTGGGGGATCCTGGGGAATTCTGGTCCTGCTTCCCTACATTCTCTTGCAGGGAAATGTTGAGGTGGCACGGAGGTTAGTGTGCAGTACTGCAGGCTACTTCAGCTGACTGCTGGCTGCAATTTAGCAGTTCAGATGTCACGGGCTCAAGGTTGACTCAGCCTTCCATCCTTCTGAGGTGGGTAAAATGAGGAACCAGATTGTTGGGGGCAATAGGCTGACTCTGTAAACCACTTAGAAAGAGCTGTAAAAGCACTATGAAGCAGTATAGAAGTCTAAGTGCTGTTGCTAGTGCTATTGTTCTTGGTTGTGGCTTGAGAGTGGTGCCCATTGTTAAATAAAGCTGTTATTTGACAGGACCAAAATATTTAACAATAATCTTCAAGATATTTATTGAAGAGCAACGAATACTGGTAATTCTGGAATTAATTTGCTGAAACAGCTCATCAGCATAAGAATTCTTACGATTGTGAATTACTCTGGAGCAAAAGACTTGAAATTCACATCTTGTGTCTCAGAACATCATGCTGACATTATTGTATCTTAGAAGGCAGCCAGGCTTTCATCAGCCAACATATTTACAGCCGGTTATGAGATTCTTTGGTGTCTAAGAGGGTCTTTGTATATAATATCACATAATGCTGACAACACTTGGCAAAGCGAAGTTGCCAAAATATTGATTTGCCTAAGAGACATCACAGTTTCATTCCCAACTGTCTTTCTGATTTCCTTTGCATATCATTTAGTATTGCTACCCTGCGGGCGCTATCAAAAAAATTACACAGATGTTGTCTGTGATCTCATGATTTATCAAAAACATTAATTTCATTACATTTTGTGTGCTGATATGCTATCATTCTTCATTTAGGCCAACATAGAGAGGCCATATGTAACAGTCACATTGTATTTCACATCAGTCCCAATGCATTTTGACTCTTCATTTTCCAAAATGTCTGTTTCATTAATGGTTCTGTTTAGGCTTTAAAAATCACTGGGTATTCTCTTTGTAGTGTGGGGAACATAGCAGCAATAAAAAGTGCAATGCTATATCCATTTTTTCTTGCAAGAAACAGATATCTTGGGCTCAATATCCAAATAAAAATTTGAAGCCCAGGATTTAAACATGAGCACCTGTGACATTTCCTTCACTCCAAAGCAGAATATCTGATAAAATTAATATTCACAAGTTTTTAAAATATGGCACAAATATCCCTTTGCAATCAATCACGATTTCTTATTTTCGTTCTTTAACAAGCAGTCGTGTTAACATATTTCCCTACATTTTGCAAACATATGTTGTCTTTTTTTGGTGAAGATTTACCAAAATGCATTCCAAAAATGAATCGGGCTTAGAAATTTGATGCCATGCTTTTGGAAAGGATGCCAAATCCAACAGGTGTCCCTGCCAACCAGTGTAGAAGAAGGCAGAAAGAATCTTCCTCATTCTCCAACACTGATTCCTGAATTCTTAATAAAAGACAAATAAGCCCCTCATCCTTACTTGAGCATTTACTTTGCCTCTTTGGATTCTGTGTTCTGCAGCACTTTGTGTAATTGTTTTCAGAATCAAGCCAAGATATAGATGTTCTTTAGGATTTGGCTCAGCCCATGCTTCTAAGTGAGTCTACCTGCTTTGTGCAAAAAGATTTGAATACTGCTCTGATAATACTTGTGTCAATGAAGTTGACTATATTCTTGAATTTATCCAATCCATTTCTTGGCTCTTTAAAAAAAATGCATATGATGCAATTTTGATGTTTCTTATTTTTTTTCTCCCTTACACAAAATAATTCAATGAACAAATATCCGACTCTGGGATCCAGCCATCCATATAGCATGGCAAATTGCCTCGTGTACACTGTAATGTAAAATCCTGGCACCAAATGTCTAAAAATATCTATAGATGCCATGTTAATTATGTTAATTTGTTTAATAATGTTAATACGCTGTGAATGCAGCCTGCCATCCCTTTTCCCTTTCTTTCAAAGCCCAATGAAACTGAACTGTGTGCTTGTGGTGATTTTTGCATTTATGAATGAAATGCCCAATAAGGACAGAAAACTGACAGCAGAAAAAGACTTAGGTGCCCATCCAGTCTGCATGGATAACCCCTGTATATGGCCCAGCATTGATAGAACATAACAGCAGCAAGCCCAGGTGAAAAACTGATTTTTCCATATTGATCTGTACAACACGTGACAAACATGGACATGTTTAAGAGCCGAGGTGGCTCAGTGGTTAAAGTGAGGTACTGCAGGCTACTTTAGTTGATTGCTAGCTGCAGTTCGGCAATTCAAATCACACCATGCCAGGAATGAAATCCTCTTACCTTTGCTACCGGTTCAGCATCCGTGATGACGTCTGGGCAGGTGGGCGGAGCCTGTCGCCACCGCCACTACCGGTTCGCCTGAACTATGGCAAACCAGCAGAATACAGCCCCTGCAACAGGCTCAAGGTTGACTCAGCCTTTCTTCCAAGGTGGATAAAATGAGGACCCAGATTGTTGGGCCAATAGGCTGACTCTTAACTGCTTAGAGGGGGCGGTAAAGCACTGTGAAGCGTTATATAAGTCTAGTGCTATTGCTATTAACAACTCTCCAAGGTGGGTGTCAACTCTGAAATAGGAATAATCTCAAGTTGCACCTATAAACCAAAACTTAAATTGAGCTTCACTGAAATGATTGCAAATTCTCTGCAGTTCATTTCCCTT